GGTGGCACAGGGGTGATCTGGTGATGGGAAACCCACGGGGATTACAATCGAGATGGAAAAAAAATGTGCAAAATGATGTAAAAATAAACTTTGTAATAAAAAAAATCAACACATGATTATACATGAGAAAAGCCAAATTTAGTGAAGGATATGTTTGCTGAAAGAAACCTTAAAGCCCTTATTATGACTATAATGTTTAATGAAGGCTTCCCAGGAGAGGGGACACACAGAGGGGAAAGAAAAGAAAGACTGAGAGAAAGAGAACAAGATTAGTAATAGATGGAAAACAATTGAATAAAGTAACTGACGATTCCTTTTAAGGACCACAAAATTGGAAGCTAATCACATCAAAGTCTATGTCTCCATAAATACACAGATCTCTCTGTGTATGTTGAAAGGGGATCTCTCTGAGTTCAGACCAACAAATTATTTGCAAGCTTCTACCACTACAAATCCCTCACATTTTATTTCCCTTCCCTTACTGGGCAAAATGAACACAGATGCATGTTTTCAGACATTGCATATTCTTAAGGGGTAAATTCTGAATCTCCCTAGTAGTTAACAATTCATAGAGCAACTTAGACCAGCTGCTAGACACCATGCATGTACATGTCCTTCATGACATGTTTTGCAAGATTTGTAGGGACCCAGCTCATCCAGGTAGACTTAGTTCTAGATAGATAAGGAATTTAAACTTTAGTCTTGATTTAGGTTCTAACTACTTGTTTTTGTTTGTGTTTTTATCTTTCTGGTTTTTCTGATTCAATCTTTAGCCTACACATGCAGAAAAGATAGAATTGATTTTTGTAAGTATCAGCTCTACCTGAGATAAATGTAACCAAAAGCATACATTATTAATAGCATTAACAGTCCTAACAAGAGTTAACATTAACTGGATGTGACACATATTTCTTTATATATACATTTAGATAGATAAACTGATTTAAATCTCAAAAGAACCCTCACATAAATAGGTGAAACAACATTTGTTTGAGAAGGAAATACTGTTTTCTTGTCATTGTGTTTTTAGACATAAAAATGCTATGTAGTGAGAATTGGAAATTTAGTGCTCACGCTTATAAATTTTGGAATAGAAAAATATAAGTGCTATCTGAACAGACATTGTGGAACACAAGGCTGTTGATAGGAAGTGTATGTAGGAAAAGTCAAAGACTGTGGCGTTTTGCAGCATGTACCACAGGATCCTGTATATAACAAACATTCGAATATTTACATATTTGACTTTTAAATGCACTTTAGCTAACTAACCATTTTCCAGATCACCTCTCAGGTAGGACAGAAAGTCTACTGAATAAAAGGAATAGTAGGTGGTAATTTTTCTGTCCAAAAAATAATATTTATAAGTAAGATATAATATATAAAAATAATATATATATATAAGTAAGATATAAAACCAGAAATGCAAGGGATTTAGCATTGTTGAACTTCATCACTGAATACCGTCATCTATCATCGGTCAGTGTGATTTTGAAAAACAGCTGTCCATTATCAAGGGGTCAGAGTTATCCTATGTTCTGGTAAAATTTCTTCACTTATTTACCCTGTAGAATATGATTTAGCACATAGCAGGTGAGAGGCATGATAGGTGATTTAAAACACTGTAAAATAAATACATGAATTCATTCTCATAAACAGGAAATTCAATGTCAGCTAAGTGTTGAATTGGGGGAAGGCTACATAGTGTGAAGAGGTTTCATAGTAGGCTGATATGGATAAGGGGCGGTTAGTAACCCAATGTCAGCACATTTACTACCATGTAGGTAATCCCAGGAATACCCTCCCTGGTCTAATTTTAGCCCAAATTCAGAACCTTATTTACTTTATTTGAAGGTATATTCAACAGGTTCTTTCTCCTAATTCCTTTAAAGGAAAAGAAAACATTCTCTACAATTTCCAGAAGACTAATGAAAGTCAGTTATAGTAGAAGAAACAAGGACATTGAGTTATACAGACCTGGACTTAAACTACAGTTCTATTATTTTCAAGCTGTATGACCTAGTGCAAGCTGCCTGATGTTTCTAATACTTTATTTTCTCATCAGTAAAACACATTCCCATAGTGACCAAACAAGATGCACTAAGACTTTAATGAGATACAATGTGTAGTGCTGGCAGTAGCTAACAGAATATAAATATTCTAAAACAATAGCTATTGTTACATTTACTCACTCTCAAGAAGAATCAACTATTGTCCTTTATTATTTTACCATACCTATGAGAAAGTTTCTTTCTTCCACAATACAGGGAAGTGAAAAAAAGCACACAGTATCTATGAAATACACTGGAAATGCTATCTTTTGCTCTCTGTAGCTAGTTATTTTTTTTTCATTTTTAAGATTTATTTATTTATTCATATGGAACTGGGGTACAGGCCAGAGATGTGGAGGGTGAGAGGATTCACCAGAGACAGAGAGAGGAGCAGAACAGGCAGATCGACGAAGTATACTGCTGAGGGGAGCAGTGGGCGGGTCAGGAGAGGTCTGCCACGCCATGTGGTCACCTCCCGGGCAGGCGGGGATCGAACTCATGCGGAAGTGGCTTTAGCTTCTCAGTGCTGTGCTTTAACCCGCTGCGCCACCAGGGAGGGCCTCTGTAGCTAGTTTTAATGTGTAATACAACTTTACAATTAGAAATCCTATCACTGGAAATTAT